TCTGTGAGAGCGAATATTTGTTTGAGTTTGTAGTTCGAAGAGTTGAGCGTAAGTTTTGCATACGTTGTCTGTTTTGGGCCCATAAGTACTTTTCGGAAAGGTAGCGACGGTTTTGGATTGACCGCACTATTTCGCCGTGACGTATGAGAGATTTTGGCCGTTTGAGATTGTTTGTTGGATCAAAACCACGTTTCATATTCATTAGTTCATCTTTTTAGTATTTCTTATTTTTGCGTGGTAGCCCAGCCCATTTAGGGGCTGCTAGCCCTGTAGTTTACCTAATTCTTGTCATATTTAAACCCCCCTCCCAAAATGTGTGTTTGTTTTCTTGGTTGTTGAAGAAATAAAAAGTTGTTGTTTCTTGCATCAATCCGTGAGAACGAATATTTGTTTGAGTTTGTAGTTCGAAAAATTGAACGTAACTTTTGCATACGGTGTCTGTTTTGGGCCTATAAGTACATTTCGAAAAGGTAGCAACGATTTCGGATTGAACGCACTGCTTCGCCGTGACGTATGAGGGGTTTTGGCCGTTTGAGATCGTTTCTTGGGTCAAAACCGCGTTTTATATTCATTAGTTCATCTTTTTTAGTATTTCTTATTTTTGCGTTGTAGCCCAGCCCATTTAGGAGCTGTTGGCCCTGTAGTTTACCTAATTCTTGTCATATTTAAATCCCCCAAAATGTGTGTTTATTTTCTTGGTTGTTGAAGAAATAAAAAGTTGTTGTTTCTTGCATCAATCTGTGAGAGCGAATATTTGTTTGAGTTTGTAGTTCGAAGAATTGAGCGTAACTTTTGCATACGTTATCTGTTTTGGGCTCATAAGTACTTTTCGGAAAGATAGCGATGGTTTTGGATTGAATGCATTGCTTCGCCGTGACGTATGAGGAATTTTAGCCGTTTGAGATCGTTTGTTGGGTCAAAACTGCATTTTATAATCATTAGTTAATCTTTTTTAATATTTCTTATTTTTTCGTTGTAGCCCAGCCCGTTTAGGGGTTGCTGGCCTTGTAGTTCACCTAATTCTTGTCATATTTAGACCCTCCAAAACGTGTGTTTGTTTTCATGGTTGTTGAAGAAATAAAAAGTTGTTGTTTCTTGCATCAATCCGTGAGAACGAATATTTGTTTGAGTTTGTAGTTCGAAGAATTGAGCGTAACTTTTGTATACGGTGTATGTTTTGGGGGCCATAAGTACTTTTCGGAAAGGTAGCGATGGTTTTAGATTGAACGCACTGCTTCGCCTTGACGTATGAGGGATTTTGGCCGTTTGAGATCGTTTGTTGGGTTAAAACCGCGTTTCATATTCATTAGTTCATCTTTTTTAGTATTTCTCATTTTTGAGTTGTAGCCCAGCCCATTTAGGGGCTGTTGGCCCTGTAGTTTACCTAATTCTTGTCATATTTAAATCCGCCCAAAACGTGTGTTTGTTTTCTTAGTTGTTGAAGAAATAAAAAGTTGTTGTTTCTTGCATCAATCCGTGAGAGCGAATACTTGTTTGAGTTTGTGGTTCGAAGAATTGAGCGTAACTTTTGCATACGATGTCTGTTTTGGGCCCATAAGTACTTTTCGGAAAGGTAGCGACCGTTTTAGATTGAACGCACTGCTTTGCCATAACGTATGAGGGATTTTGGCCATTTGAGATCGTTTGTTGGGTCAAACCCGCATTTCATATTCATTAGTTCATTTTTTTTAGTATTTCTTATTTTTGCGTTGTAGCCCAGCCTATTTAGGGGCTGCTGGCCCTGTAGTTTACCTAATTCTTGTCATATTTAAACCCTCCAAAACGTGTGTTTGTTTTCTTGGTTGTCGAAGAAATAAAAAGTTGTTGTTTCTTGCATCAATCTGTGAGAACGAATATTTGTTTGAGTTTGTAGTTCGAAGAATTGAGCGTAACTGATAAGTGTATTTTCTACACTTATTCGGGGCTCTAAACTATATAATTTTATTGTTCTTTTGGCAAAATACGATCTAAATTTTATTGTATTAATTTTCTTAGGTAAAACTCGTGCTTGGACGAAGAAGGAAAGGAAAGAAGCAAAAATTGGCGAAAAGTGACAAAATCCAAAACACGGGGATTAAATTGGCCATTGATGGAAGTTGGAGGCCAAGGCATACAAGTCAAAAGTGGAGGATTTGAGATGCAATTATTGAGGGACTTGGCTGCAAATGACACAAAATCCATTTATTTGGCGGCCAATTACAGTGAATTGGGCGCTTGTGGGCCATTTTAATTATTGGGGGTCATTTTAAATGCTTCTCCAAACTTGAGGGACCAAAGCTGAAAATTTTCCTAGGTTTTACTATTAAAAACCATGCAGATCTGGGGGAAGAAAAAAAAAACCTAGAGGGCCGACAGAAGAATCAAAGAAGCCGCCAGCTGTTGGAAGGAGAATAGTGGGCTAAATTATAGTATACATCTCACTTCTCACGCCAAAACAGAGGCAGCCAATATTATAATTTGCACACACATTGAGGGCTGCCTTGTGGGGAATATACATAAAAGACTTGGAGGGGAGTTTGCTGTTGAATTAGAGGAGTTTACCATTAATAAGGGCGGCTGCCAGAAGCTGGAATTTGTGATATATACTCATAGAAATCGAGGCTGTTGTCATCAGATATACACGCACAACTTGAGAAGAATAACTGGCGAATTAAAGAGGCTGCCCCGTTGCTGAGAGTTATTAATATATACCTACGAAAACGGAGGCAAAAGTGGAGAGAAGCTGCCGGCTGGGGGTAGGCTTCAGCTGCTGAATTATATAATACATACATACATAAGCTGCTGGTGGCAATTAGAATATAAACATTGTCGGCCAGCTTTGGGATTAATAGTTCAGCCAGCTTCTGGTAGAGAAATTGGTGGTCTGCCGTCTGCTGGAAGAAACCATTCACATGCATTAAAAAGGGGAGGAATTACACGTCAATTGCAGGAGAAAAAAGTGGAGAGAAAGGGCTGTATTTTATTATTTATAAACATACAAAACTGCCGGCAGATTGGAGAAAATAGGAGGCAGAACCTGGTGGAGAAAAAGGCACAACTGGCGGCTGAAAAACAAGGGAGAAAGAAAGGGAAAGCTGGCTGGAATTGAAAGTCAAAGAAAGAGGCTGGAAAGTATATATGTGTATATATTCATGCACATGCAAAGGTGGCAGCTGGGTATTTTCTTTTATTGTGGTGCAAGAGCTTGAAGATTAATTATGTCCCGTCGATTTTCGGTGATTTCCTTCCACTCTTATGTGTTTAATTCCAACAGTATGCTAGGCTAATTTTTCTCACGTATTGGATGATGACAAAATTGTTTAATTATTAGTTTTAATTCGAGACCTATGTTTTTATGTTAATTCTTGCGTTGTGATTCCAATAATATGCATAATTAGATTGTTCTAATATTTGCGCACCATTAGGATAATAAGTTGCTTTTTCGTAGTGTTGGAAAACTCACGATAGGTAGAACACTATTATTGGGACACATGGGCAATAAATATTAGGAACAGTATTTGTGGCGTGTGCGATCTTATATGATAATCCTAATTGTCAATGCATGTTTGCCATATGAATTCGACTTAGGAATAGGATCGTCTAGTAGTAATCATAGATTTATTATATCTTGAGAAAGAATAATAAATAAACGGAATTATCGATCGTCGCAATTGCATAAATTGAGATAATTATTATTGGTTGAGAATTAGAACTAAGAATTAATCAATGGCGTCGGAAATCCAATACGTTTACACATTTAAATTTTTAAACCAAATTTAATTATTTTCACAAGTTTTAGTTATAAAAATTATTTAGTTATTCCCTCGATCGTTTTTTCTGTTACAAATACGAATTAACTATATCAAATATACTAAAATTGATCCTTATTCCCTGTGGGACGATAACTCTCTCATCACGATTATTACTTGTACAACGAACCCCTACGCTTGCGGGATTTTGACGAACAAGTTTTTGGCGCCGTTGCCGGGGAATAACGGTGTTAATTTTAGTTATTAGATATTTTAGATTCGTTTTTATTTTTACTTTTATTGTTTTCATTTTCATTTAATTTTTTTAGTTGTTTTTAGGCTACCATTACACTTTTTAGGCAACCTTAGTTTATGCAAAATCCTGTCGAGCCAGATCTCTTTCCAATAGACCACGAAATTGAAAGAACATTTAGAAATCGTAGAAGAGTTCAACGTCAAGCAAGGAGAATGACTGACAACCAAAATCAACCACAGCATCAGGTTCAGCTTCACGAGCAAATGCCACAGCCAAATCAACCGAGAGCTAACCAGAACGAAGCTCATGTCTTAGTTGGGGATTACATCAATCCAATTCCCGCACCAGTGCAACCTGCTGTGGTATACCCCCCTTTTGGACAACCTAATTTCCACCTTCGACCAGATGTCATCAATTTGTTTCAAAATCACCAAGACATCAGGTTCTTTGGAAAAGCCACAGAAAATCCTCATGAGCATATTTCTGCTTTTCTCATGTTATGCGAAGTGATCAATCACGAAGGGATATCAGCAGATGCATTCCGAATGAGATTATTCCCACACACCTTGAAGGACACTGCTAGAGAATGGTTTCTTTGTTTACCACCAGGGAGCATTCAATCATGGAACGATATGGTTCAAAAATTCACGATGAAATTCTTTCCACCTTCTCGAGTTCACCAAATTAGGAACGACGTCCACACCTTTAAGCAAAAAGATCTCGAGAGCTATCCTGAGGCATGGGAGAGGTTCAAGAATTTTTTCAGAAAATGCCCCAACATCGACATTCCCAAGCAGGCTCAGCAATATCTTTTCTACTACGGTCTAAAACAAGAATTCAGAAATATGATAGATGCTTCAGCAGGAGGATCAGTGATGAAACTTGATGTGGATGAGGCATATGACCTGTATGAAAAAATAGCTGAAAACCAATCAATGTGGCCAATTGATAGGGAAGCTCCAAGGAAAACATCAGGGTTACACAACGTAGATGCGGTGACAGCTTTGGCCGCGTAAATGGAAGTTCTTACCATGAAAATGGACAATCTATCTAAGTCAGTCAACAGGGTACACCAATCGCCACCTGTTTGCGAAAGCTGTGGAGCGTATCATGCTAGTACACGCTGCCCTTTGGCGTCTACACATGTTAATCAATCCGAAGAAGTAAGTTACGCACAGAACTTTCAGAGACAGCAAAATAATCCTTTCTCCAACACATTTAATCCAGGTTGGAAGAACCATCCAAATTTTTCATGGTCCAATAATCAAGGACAAGAACAGGGAGGAAGCAATCAGAATAACCCACCAGGGTTCCAACAGCAGCAATAGCAAGGGAGAAGGCCATCGTTGGAAGATTTGCTGGCTCAATACATTACTAAAACTGAGACCAACTTTCAAAACCAACAAGCCTCGATCAAGAATTTGGAACAACAGGTTGGACAAATTGCAGCCGCACTATCAGGTAGAGCTCAAGGAACATTGCCTAGTAATACTGAAACAAACCCTAAGGAACAGGTCAAAGCAATCACTACACGTAGTGGCATCCAGTTACCAGAAATACATGTAAAGCGACCAGCAACTGTCATAGAAAAGGCACCTACCATGGACGAGGAGCAAGTGGATGAATTAGACAAGGCCGCTGAGGAAAATCAAGTTGAGTCATCAGATAGTCCACAGGTGAAAGCAACTGCTCCTGTCAAAGCATATGTTCCTCCAATCCCATTTCCACAGAGATTGCAAAAACATAAGCTCGACAAGCAATTCCAGAAATTTTTGGATGTGTTCAAGAAGCTGCATATTAACATACCATTTGCTGAAGCTTTAGCCCAAATGCCCAGCTATGCTAAGTTCATGAAGGATATTCTATCAAATAAGAGAAAGCTGGAAGACAATGAAACAGTCATGCTTACTGAGGAGTGTAGCGCAATTCTCCAACACAAATTACCACCGAAACTAAAAGACCCAGGGAGTTTTACTATTCCTTGTCACATTGGTAATTTGTATATAGATAAGGCGTTGTGTGATCTAGGAGCTAGCATTAATTTAATGCCTTTATCTCTTTTCCGGAAACTAGGTTTGGGGGAAGCAAAACCGACAACAGTTTCACTACAGTTGGCTGACAGGTCGATCAAACACCCTCGTGGTATTTGTGAGGATATTTTGGTGAAGGTTGACAAATTTATCTTCCCAGTAGACTTCATTATTCTGGATATGGAAGAAGATAGAGACGTCCCCCTCATATTGGGTCGTCCATTTTTGGCTACGGGAAGGGCTTTGATAGATGTGCAAAAGGGTCAATTGATATTGAGGTTAAATGAAGAAGAACTGACAATCAACGTGTTTCGAGCTTTCAGATTTCAGAGCGAACCGGATTCTTGCATGCAGATTGATGTAATAAAAGAAGCGGTGTAAGAGACATTCAAACTAGATCACCCTCAAGATCCGCTTGAAGCGTGCTTAGTACATTCTCAAGATTTACCATCAGAAAAAGAGGAAGCAGAAGAATATGCACGTTATTTGGCAGCCATACCACCATTCTTCAAGCAACCGCGTTTGGAGCTCGGTGAAAGACCTACAACACATTTACCATCTATACAATAAGCTCCAACTCTTGAACTCAAACAACTGCCAACCCATCTTCGCTACGCATACTTGGGGGAAAAGAATTCACTTCCAGTAATTATCTCAAATAGTCTTACAGAAGTGGAAGAGGATCAATTGCTGAGGGTGCTTCGAGAGCACAAGACAGCAATAGGATGGACGATATCGGATATAAAAGGGATCAGCCCTTCGCTTTGTATGCATAAGATACTGATGGAAGACGATTACAAAGCTTCAATCGAGCATCAACGCAGATTAAACCCGACTATGCAGGAGGTGGTAAGGAAAGAGGTATTAAAGCTTCTAGATGCAGGGATCGTATATCCTATATCAGACAGCCATTGGGTGAGTCCAGTGCAGGTTGTACCGAAAAAAGGAGGAATCACGGTGGTTCCAAATGAAAATAACGAGCTTATCCCTACACGTACAGTCACGGGGTGGAGAGTTTGCATTGATTATCGTAAACTCAACAACGCCACAAGAAAGGATCACTTTCCGCTTCCTTTCATTGATCAGATGTTAGAGAGACTCGCTGGACATGCTTACTATTGCTTTTTAGATGGCTATTCGGGGTACAACCAGATCCCTATTACGCCTGATGATCAAGAAAAGATGACATTTACATGCCCTTACGGCACTTTCGCTTATAGGAGGATGCCCTTCGGCCTTTGCAACGCTCCAGCCACTTTTCAACGTTGTATGATGTCTATTTTCTCAGACATTGTGGGTAATATCATTGAGGTGTTTATGGATGATTTCTCAGTATTTGGAAAATCATTTAAGGAATGCCTTGAACATTTGGGAAAAGTGTTGCAGCGCTGTGAGGACACAAACCTCGTATTAAATTGGGAAAAATGCCACTTCATGGTTCAAGAAGGGATTGTGTTAGGACATTTAATCTCAGCACGGGGTATTGAGGTTGATAGAGCTAAGATACAAGTCATCGAAAAACTTCCACCGCTGGTAACAGTAAAAGGAGTTAGAAGTTTCTTGGGTCACGCTGGGTTCTACCGACGCTTCATCAAAGACTTTTCCAAAATTTCGAAGCCATTGTGCAATTTATTGGAAAAAAGGGCCCCATTTCACTTTTCTGAGGAGTGCTTGACAGCTTTCAACACTTTAAAGGAAAAATTGGTTTCCGCTCCAGTGTTGGCTCCTCCAGACTGGGATTATCCATTTGAACTTATGTGTGATGCCAGCGATCATGCAGTGGGGGCAGTGTTGGGTCAACGCAAGGATAAGATTTCTCATGTTATCCACTATGCTAGCAAGACTTTAGACGAGGCTCAAATGAATTATGCTACTACGGAGAAAGAGCTTTTGGCAGTGGTGTTCGCTGTTGACAAATTCAGGTCATATTTGATTGGGTCAAAAGTGATTGTCTATACGGATCATGCAACATTGAAATATCTAATGAGCAAGAAGGACGCAAAACCAAGGCTTATTCGATGGATACTCCTACTGCAAGAATTTGATTTGGAGATCAGAGACAAAAAGGGGAGCAAGAATGTTGTTGCAGATCATTTATCTCGCCTTGAATCACATGAGTCATACCCTACGGAGGAGATCAATGAAGTTTTCCTAGATGAAATGCTCTTTCAGATTATCACTACGCCATGGTATGCCGATTATGTGAATTATTTGGCTCGCTCCATCATCCCACCAGAATACTCAAGTCACCAAAAGAAGAAATTCTTCAGTGACCTAAAACACTACTTTTGGGATGATCCAATCCTATACAAAAGGGGTCCAGATCAGATCATACGCCGTTGTGTGCCAGAAGTAGAACAACATCAAGTATTAGAATCATATCACTCTGCACCGTATGGGGGCCACTTTGCAGCAACCAAGACAGCAGCAAAGGTACTGCAATCGGGTTTTTATTGGCCTACGCTATTCAAGGACGCACATTATATGGTGAAGAACTGTGATAAGTGCCAGAGAACTGGAAACATCTCAAGGAGGAACGAGATGCCCTTGAACGGTATCTTGGAGGTTGAAATATTCGACGTTTGGGGCATTGACTTCATGGGACCATTCCCTCCATCCTATGGTCAACAATACATACTGGTGACAGTGGACTACGTGTCTAAGTGGGTCGAAGCTGTGGCTTTACCAACTAATGAGGGTCGGGTAGTGACTCAATTTCTGAAGAAAAATATTTTCACAAGGTATGGCACCCCGAGAGCGATTATTAGTGATGGTGGAAAGCACTTTTGTAACCGCCTCTTTGCTTCGTTGTTGGCCAAATATGGAGTGAAACATCGTGTCTTGACTCCATATCATCCTCAGACTAGTGGGCAAGTGGAAATCTCCAATAGGGAATTAAAGAAGATTCTTGAAGCTACGGTCAGTGCATCACGTAAAGATTGGGCTAAGAAATTGGACGATGCACTTTGGGCGTATAGAACAGCATTTAAGACTCCAATTGGCATGTCTCCATATCGACTAATATTTGGAAAGGCGTGTCACCTACCCGTTGAGTTAGAACATAAAGCATACTGGGCGACACACTTACTCAATTTCAATATGAGGGCAGCAGGAGAAAAGAGAGTTCTACAACTTCATGAGCTAGATGAGTTTCGTTTGGATTCGTATGAGAATGCAAAGATTTACAAAAAAAAGACCAAGAGATGGCACGACAGGCATATAAGGGAGAAAGAGTTTGAGGTTGGTCAGCAAGTGTTGATGTTCAATTCACGCCTCAAGCTTTTTCCAGGAAAGCTAAAGTCTAGGTGGTCGGGTCCATTCACAGTGGTAGCTGTGTTTCCACATGGTGCTGTGGAAGTGATGTCTCAAGATTAACAAAGGAGATTCAAAGTAAATGGACAACGGTTGAAAGCATATTGGGGAGGTGACTACTCCAATGAGAAAACAACCGTGCCACTTGACAATGTAGAGTAGCCAGGACAACAAAGTCTAGCTAAAGACTATAAATAAAGCGCTTATTGGGAGGCAACCCAATTTCTGAACCTTTTAGTTATTTTGTTTTCTGCATTGCATTGCATATAGATTTATTTTAATTGTTAGTTGCATTAGATTTAGGCACATTTACATTTATACATTATCATCATCTGGTCATGTTTTCATTGAAGCCCTTAAATATAATGTTGGTTATTTCGAGTGTTTGGACTAAGTAACATAGGTTTTGGATTATTTGATCTCTACTATTTGATGATTACCATATGCAGGAACATGACGTCGTGGAACACTCAGACCAACATCGACCAAAGGGAAAGCATGATGAAAAAGATTGTCTAGCCGTCACCTACAGTACCTTCCACAGAAAAATTCAGGGAGTACCTTCGTCCTTTTCCTCCCCATCCCCTTACATTTTTTACTTATGTTTTAAGACATTGAGGACAATGTCTGGTTTACGTTTGGGGGTGGGAAACACTTTGTGTTTTTGGTTTTCGTATGTTTTCGTGTGTTGTTTTTCATATGTTTAAAAAAAAAAGAAATTAGTTAACTTTTTTGCTTGTTTGTGTGCTTGTGTGGGTTGGACAATTTGGCTGAAAATGATGATTAAATTTGAGATTTGGAGTTAATTTATGAACTGTGGATATGGAGCATGCTAGACTGATTGAAGCTTGAACTTGCAAAATTTGATATTATATATGCACTGAAATTGAGTTGACATTGTGATGAAATAAGTTGATTCATATGCTTTATAGGTTGATTTAGTTGAACATAGACGCTTTATCCATACCATACAAATTATTTATCCTTAGACAAAATTTAGAACAGTTTGGGGGTGATTTTGCTATTGTAGGAAGATACGGATATGGGCAAGGATTCCATGTGTGAAAACTTATGTGTGGATTGTCTCAGACTAACAGGATAAAATTGGGTAAAAGTCTTGAGTTGGAGGTCGATTTGATTGAATAAATGTATGATAAAGGGCATTGCACTAATCAAGGCATATATTTTGAAATTAAAAACTTCTCTCTAAAGCTTTTATGATTCGAGTAATTAAGCCTGCAAGGGTATCTTAAAACCTAATGCCCTAAATTCATTTGACTTGGGAGTCATCGGCCTAAAGCTCGTTACAGGGGTTATTTAGAAAGCAATCAGGGATGAAGTTGCACTTGAAAAAAAAATTTGTTCTCTTCGAAGCCTTTTTGACTCGGGTTATTAAGCCTGTAAGGGTGTCTTAAAACCTGATGCTCTAAAATAATTTGATTTGGAAGTCATCGGCCTAAAGCCTGCTACATGGGTTATCTAGAAAACTTAATGGAGAGAATAAAAAAAAACTCTTAAAAATCAGAAAAAGTAAGTGCATGAAAAAAGCAAAAGCACTAATTGCCTTGTTAAGTCCGAGCACTTATTCGAGAAAATTTGACTTTTCAATGAAGGATAATTAGCCTAGTTGAGTCCTAGCGGTTGAAGCAATCAATTAATTGAGAATCTTTGTTCATTGATGTGTTAACTTGCAACTAGTGACGTCCACCTGAACTAGAGAGGGTAATGATAGTAATGAAAAATTCAACCTTAGATCACCTGCTGGGAATTGAGTGAAAATAATAAAGTTGGGGCCGTGTGAATCTTACGAGGGATGAAAGAATATATTTGACCATAGAGGGTCGGGAATTAAAACAACTTGTGAAGTCATTAATGTCTACATAATTTTTCACACACACACACGTCGATTTTGCATTGGAAGAGTGAAAATTGGTTTGGTATTGCAACGTTGAAGCAGTTTATAGATTTAATTCGGTGATCTCAAATGCTGTGGTAAAAAGTTAAACTGTCCAACCAAATAATTTTTGCATGCTTGTATGTTTGTTGTTACTTAGATTTCAGTTTTGTTTGAGGACAAACAAAGATTCAAGTTTGGGGGTTTGATAAGTGTATTTTCTACACTTATTCGGGGCTCTAAACTATATAATTTTATTGTTCTTTTGGCAAAATACGATCTAAATTTTATTGTATTAATTTTCTTAGGTAAAACTCGTGCTTCGACGAAGAAGGAAAGGAAAGAAGCAAAAATTGGCGAAAAGTGACAAAATCCAAAACACGGGGATTAAATTGGCCATTGATGGAAGTTGGAGGCCAAGGCATACAAGTCAAAAGTGGAGG